TCAGGGGTTGGCAAACTTTTGAGACGGAAGAGCCAATCCTGTCCCTCACAACAATTTAAAAATTATTCGAGAGCCATAAAACAAATGAAATCACCATTATGTGACTACTATCCTTTAAAAATTTTATAAGTGAAACTATGATAGTTTTATTTTCATTTTCACTTTTACTTCAGAGCCATGTGTATGTACCCAGAGCCGTATGTGGCTTGCGAGCCGCAGTTTGCCGACCCGGCATATCCAAATCGCTAGCATCACTACTCTTGAGCTTTAGAGCTGTTATTAAGTAAAATAAGGGTCACCTGAACATAAGCACTGTGATACCCAAATAGTCATTCTGATAAGCAAGATGGTGGCTATGACTTGGCTAACCAGAGGGAGTGTATACAGCATGGAGTTGCTGGCAAAAGAATGATTTACCTCACGGCAGGACGGAGCAAGATATCGCGAGATTTTATCACGCTACTCAGAACACAGTCAATTTAAAATGTAAACCTCCCCTCCCCTGCACCTTCATAGATGGCAGCTGAAGAAGGAAGCTCGTTGTTTATTTCTGGGATTTTCCATTTATTTTTGGACCTTGGTTGACCGCCAGTAATTGAATTTATGGAAAGTAAAACCTCAGATATGGGGGGCTACTGTAATTAAATTTTGCTTGAACTGTTTATTAATAGAATAACATTGTATAATTGCTTTTGTATCTTGCTTCTTTCCTTCCACATAGTTTTTAAGATTTCGCTCTGAGTTATTGTATGTGGCTGCAGTTCTGTCACTGCCTTTGCTGCATGGTATTCCACTATATTGCTTCAGCACAGTTCATTTATTCATTTTACTGTTGATGGACAGTTGGGTCATTTCCAGTTTTTGGCTATTGTGAGTAGCGTTGCTATGAACATCTTGTATCTGAACCATAATTGACTTACGTAAGAGTCTCTGGAGAGAAGTGGAATTATTGGATTATAGGGTATGTCTATCTCCAACTCTACCAGTTAATGCCAAACTGTCCTCCAAAGAGGTTGGACCAGATAAATTCCCACCAGCTGCCTCCTTTTAGGGAGCAGAGAAGCTTTTTCTGTCTTGTTAGTTTCCACGATTTCCATCTCCAAACCCTGAACCACATGGGTCTGGTGTGGTTGCCCACCCCCACACCAGAATCCTGAAGAGACAGACAAAGTGCATGGGAGCCATTGTCCCTTTTGCTTTGTATCTTTACTTAAAGTAATTCTCAGGTCTTAAACATGTAGCGAGAACAGTTAACATTCTAAGAATGATCCTTGAGATAACGTGATCATCTTTTAGATTTTCAGGCTTGGCTAACAGGCCAGCCAGGTGTGAGAGTATCCTGACCACCTTCTCCTCTTCCCGTCACCGCCACAGATGGGAGCTGAGGAAGTAAGGGCATCACAGCCAGTGGGTCAGGTGGCTTTCCAAAGCCCGCAAAGTGGACAGGGCAGGGAATCAGAGAAATGGTAACTGCCCCTTTCTCCTTCAGGAAATCAGAGGACCTCAAAGGTCAGATATTGGCTCACTGGAAGCTGATGTTTGTGTCTTTCTCTGCAGGGTTTTAGAAAAACACGACAGAACCTGCCCATTCCTCCAATGGCCAGCAAGCTGAGACCCCATCCCAGGCAGGACCAAGCGCTAGAGGCATTTCTGAGGTATGATGTAGCACTCTACTGAAAAGGCACAAATAAACCCCAAACCCTGGCACACATTTATCCAGTTTGTGAAGTGGATTAATAGAATAACCAATAAAACATGTATAAAAGCTTTAATTAAATCTGATGAAATAAAACTTCATGTTTTATTTATGGACACTCCCAACATGTAAAGGATTCAGGGACACATTCATTTTTACTGCCATTTCGTCCTCATATCTATAATTAAATCCAGGCTGCAGCTCTGGCCCAAAGCAATGCGGCATTTTAAAGCTGGCCTTGGACACTCCCTCCCCCACCCCATCTGCTTTTAATTATAATTGCCATCCCAATATGAAGGAGGCTGATGGTAAAACAAAACAAAATAAAACAAACAAACAGTTGTTGCCATTGGGTTTTCAAATGCCATGCTGAAGGATTTCAGGCAGGTGGGCATATCCTCTATGTCCAGTTTTATTCTGTACCAAGTGAACAATCTTTCATTTTACTTTTGACATAAAAAAAAGGACTTCATGAAACAAGACAAAATAACTTATGATTATATGAAACATAACTGTGACAAATCACAAAACTATACATATTAATAGAAAAAAAGTGTACCTAATTCTTTAAAAGATTTATGACAATAAGCACCAGATGTGCCCCTAGAGTAAAATCGGCCCCATATCCAGTATGATCTATGCAGTTCATTTCTCTACGTGAGTGTATATAACTATGTACAAGGGTCTGTGTGATTTATGGAAAACAGATTTCCACTTTTCCCCCCCAAAGTGCTTTATGTCAGCAACATTACACAGGATGCTCTGCTGTCTGTACAAAATAAATCTCTTCTTTTTTACACTCGCCATTTCTCCAATGAGTGTTTTTTTTTTTGCTTTATCCATTGCAAAAAAAAAAAAAAAAGTTAACCGCAGAAATTCCACACCACCAACAAAAAGTGCCATTAAAAAATGCTGCTATAAAATGACATGGTCAAAGCAGTCAAATAAAATACCAAATAATTAAATCGGGCATTTACAATCACTATTCTCAATACTTCAAGGCAACTGAAAGTCAAGGTTCTTGGATAGGGGGATGAACATTTACCTCTGTGGTAGCATACTTATGTGCTTGACAGCTAGTAATGTAAAAGCGACAGAACAACACCAACACTCGGGTTTTATCAGTGGAAACTAAGCTGTGATTCACTAAAGGCCTTTTGTCCATTTTAGAATCAACCACCTATGCAATTTGGGGGAGACATGAGTAAAGCGACCCTATAGGACTGGAAATATTTAAATGATATTGAACAGCTGATCAGAGGCTAAATTACAAGTGACATTTTGATGCAGTCCCTTTAGGGAATTAAGACAATGCAGCAAATGAAATGTCTCTAGGCATACTGGTTATTTTTTTTTCATTTTAATGTAATAGGATAATTGTCTTTAGATTGTGTGTTACTTTCACAAGCATCAGTTTTTTTTTGTTTCTTTTTTTTTTTAAAGGGGAATGATAAATCTCTGTTCGGATGTTACGAAAATGGTTACATATCAATAGACTGAAAAGACTAGGAAATGGAAGGAATGAATTTTCGAACGTTCCCTTTTTACTGCTACAAATATAATAAAAGCATATATAAATCTTGTGCAATGAGAAAGCAAGCAAGAAACAAATTTTCAGGTTAGGTGAGATCCTGGACTCTAAGGACAGCATGAAGAGTCTACAAGGAACCTGCGTGTCCTGCTGAGGCCTGAAGCCCAAACCTGCAGCCATCAGGAAACACTGAGGGGCATGTGAAGGGCTCTGCGTTGCAGGCAGCCCTGGGCCCTGCTTCCTGTGTGCGCCCTCAGCCAACAGGAATGCTCTCTTCAGGGGCCAGCCCGAATTCCTGCTGAGGAAGGAGGCTCTCTGCAGGTGCTGCTGCTCCCAGAGCTCCAGCTCCCTCCAGCCCCAGGGAGGCAGGAGCAGGGCAGGGCCATTGTAAGGCCAAGGTCAGGCCAGAGCCTGGCGCAGAAGCATCTCCTCCAGCCAAAGAGGGGGATGACATCCACGGTTTCTGAGGCGCAGCTTCTGGCTTTGTCCTCCTTCCCCCTTTAAATGATATAAAAGCCATAAGGCAGGACTGACAACATCAGCTGCCATAGCCACCTTGCATTTTCATCTTTTTCCTCCTCATCACACAAATAAAATGTATTCTGAGTTCCCCATAAAGACTTCAATATTTAACAATGGATAGAGTGTCTGTCTAAAGAGACCAGAGCTTTCCTTTCTTTCCAGAGTGGGACAGAAGACATAGAGGAGTAATGCCAGTGCTAGCATGCATGTATTCTTGCTTAGACCAAGTGACACAACCCCCAGTCTGCAAGGAGGATGGTACTTTCCTTGCAGTCTGAGAGCTCACTTGCAAAGGAAGCCTGATGTGCACCCTTTCATAGAGCACAGCAGATTTCTGTAGTGAATAACTCATCTCTTTTGCAGACTTGGGCATCTGAGTGATGGCTTGTCTCAGATCAGAGCTCAGTAGTCAGAGAAACTAGACCCGACTGAGTGCATTGTACAAATGGACCTCATACTTGGTTCTTTGTTCACTTACTGTACCACACGTTTGAATGGTGCCCAGAATCAGAAAGAATACGACTGGCTGTGCAGCCAGACTGAAGGACCCATCTGTCAGGATACAAACTGTCACCGGATCCCAAATCTGACACCAAGCTGTTTAATTGTCTTGTTGAAGATTGTAATTATTTCTGTTTGACAAATAGCATTGTTTCATTTTTGTTCAGAAAACATTTTTAAAGAGAGAAAAGAAAGCGTGAAATGTGACAGTACAATGTCAGAATTTATTTGGTGTCTTTGGGGATTGGCTAATTTTTATAGCCTGGGCTGTAGGACTCGGGATTCTTTCAATAGCTTTGTCAAGGTGCCACAGAAAATGGCTTCCTCTTCAGGCTTGACAGCAAGTGGTCAAGTGGTCTGTAAAAATCCCAGGCCCTCAAACCAGAATTTCAGAGAAAAAGGTTGCCTTCTTCTGCCCACCTTTCTAGAACTGTTTCCCTCCACCTGCCTTAGGTCGGACCTTGGTCAGAGTTGATGGTCAGAAAATGGTGGATGGTGGGCATGTGTGAGTCAAGAAGAGGGTGAGTACAATGCTGAGACAGAGACAGAGAGAAAGAGAGAGAGAGAGAGAGAGAGAGAGA